CCATTAAATCTGATAAGTATCCTATTAAAAAATTCAGAAAAACAAAATTAACGATTAAAGTTTTTAAAAAATTTTTTTTTGTTTGTTGATATACTTACCGGCTATAGCTCCACCAAACACTGCTCCTAAGGTTACAGCTATCAAATTTTTAATAATACAAAGAATTGTTTAAAAAAAAAAAATTAAATGTTCTCTGTTGATTTCATAGGTTACAACAAATTACTTACCTCCAACGATTATTCCTTTTTGTAATGCAGTCATGGTAAATTCTTGCTCAAGTAATAGCATAGCACTACTTATAACTCCAGTATCATATCTAGAAACAATTTAGTTAACTCAATTATTTTATTACATTAACTCTTGTAAGAAATATTTAAAAAGAAATTTTGTTACCCGAATAAAAATCCACCTATAGCAACAACTACAGCGATGAAATAAACATATGAAGTAACTTCCGCAGTAACTTCAACATCTCTTAATATTTGGTCGTCAAAGCGCGCATGAGATTCAACATCTCGTGATATGCGTTTTGGTGGACTTTTTGATGATGATTGTGGCGAATTTCTTGGTGATGTTAATTGTCCTTCTATTTCCTCGTCTTCCATAAGTGGTTGATAAGAAAGATCAGACTAAATATAAATAACAAGTTGAAATTATCAAATCAATAGGTTTATAAAAAAATTTTAAATTGATTTTCTGTTGAATTTTGATAATATTATACTTATTATTATTATTATTATTATTATTATTTATGGAATCTCGTTTATGGATAAGATTCGAATTCATATAAAATAATAAACATACATCTGACTTCGGTATGCTCATTTTTTTTTAAATGGTGATAAAAAATATATATATATATGTATTGAATATTGAGGCTTAGATATTTAATAGAAATTTTTTTTTTTATTTGAAAATGATAGTTTTACTGAATAACTGAAAAATTCTTGTTTTTTTGTTTACATTTGATTTTTAAAAATTGCTTTTATAATAAAACTCCAATTCTAATTTTTTCTTGGGAGAGAAAAATGAACCTGTATTTTAGATTCGATTTTTAAATTGAATTTAACGTCACACCAAATGGGTATTACACAAGTATAGTAATTTTTTTTTTTTAAGTAAAGTATGGTATCATAAGAAGGTTTAGTTCGTTTTCTTCTTTTTCTTATGATTGGGTCAGATGTCTCGGAGAAATATTTTCAGAAGATAATTGAATCTTCTCCTTATTATATTGCTTGATTTCTTTTTCTTATACTCGAATTCAATTGTCTCATCATGTAACGATTTCAAAATTACCTGCTGAAACATGATTTCCCCGATATCATATTTAAGTTTTGTCTGCTCGTTTTGTGAATCTGACAGTATTCTCTTCCATAGCCTGTCTTAATTTCGCTTAACCTTAGCATTCTCTTGTCTCAACTTTAAAATTATTTTTTTAAGAAATAAAATCATTCAACGCGTGACTTTTGGTCACGCCTGAACCGGTAATTTTGAAAAAAAAAAAATGGATGCGTGATTATTGTATGAGAAATTAGCATATAAGCTTGTTTTATTTGAAAGGCCTTTTGGCTCGAACTTTTTTATTAATATATATGATACATAGATTTGTTTGTATAAATTATTATCACGTGTTTTGGATAAAACGAAAATGAATTGTTATAATATATGATTTGCAGTCCCAGAAATAATCTTAGTAAAGCCCTACTGAAAATTTGTTATTTGCATTTTCATCTACGAAAAAATGGTCATAAGTTTGAAAGCTCCGAATTTTCTTTTTAAGTGCATTGTTATATTTGAAAATATACGTTAATTGCGTAATGTCACATACAGAATTTCCCTTTGTCAATTCTAAGCAATTGACTTCGCTATGCCGATTTTGAATTCACGAAAAAATTCAAGGCAGATTTTATTCTGTAAACTTTGCTCACGTGAGTCTGAAGACTTTTAACTTAGTAAAGTCCACAATTTTATTAAGTTGTATCGTTTTAAAGGTTACAACCAAACGTAATTTTTAATGAAATAACTTAAATTTGATTCAATTTTTATTTTTTACTAATTTCTGGAAAAAGTTTAAATATATGGTAAACATTTCTTATAGTATATAAATAATTAATTTTACAACTTAAAGCGTCTTTGACTTTATTTGTATAAATATAAAAAATAAATAAAACGAAGCAGAACAATCCTAGATAAATTACGGTATAAATTATTCTCTCCTAGTATATTGCACTAGAGGATTTTTAGGTTGAACCATCATTGTAGTAAAATCACATTCCGGAAACTTGTTTTCATGTAAACCAAGATCAAACATTCTAACAAATACGGCAAGAATAGTTTTAATTTGTAAATAAGCAAATGGTTCACCAATACATCTATGTCGACCTGTTCGAAAAAAAAAAAAAAAAAAAAATTATTAAATAATTTTTTTGTTTTTAGAAAAATAAAATAGGGTAATTCTTACCGGCACCAAATGGAAGGAAAGGAGATTTCGCGCTAGCAGAATGTAAAATACCAAAACCATAATCAACCAAATCATCATCTCTCTCCTTATTATGTTGATCGAAATCGATCCATCTATTAGGATTAAATGTTTCAGCATTTTCAAAATAATCTTCAGAACGTTGAGAAATAGTAGGTAAAGCTTGAATAAAGGAATCTTTTGGTATAACATATTGAGTACCAGGAACAGGTAAATCTTTAATAACTTTTCTAATAATATTGAGAATAGGGGGACGCAATCTAAGAGTTTCTCTAACAACATTATCATGAAGTGTAAGTTTTTTCATCTCATCAAAAGTTAATGGTTCATCTAAACTTCCTAAGATGTCGATCTGTTCTTGACGCAATTCATTAAATAAATTTGGTTGAGCTGCTAGATAGAGCAATGCCCACGCCGTTGTGGTGGACGAAGTATGTTGTCCTGCCATTAACATTGCTATCATAATATGAGCTGATTCTTCATCAGATAATTTTCTACCGTTCTTGTATTGACAATTTGTTGTTAAATATTGCATAATATCCGTACGATCCGTAACTCCTTTTTCTCGACGATCTTTCATGATATTCATGAAGAAATGACGCATTTTAACATGAGCTACATCTCTTAATTTATTTGATTGAAGTGGTAAATCTTCAAACAAGAAATTAATTGGTTTAAATCCACCATCCAAATCATGAAAGATTTGAGCAACTATCAGAAAAAAAATACATAATGGTTAAATAATTATTTGTAATAAGCAAATAAAATCTCAATACCATTTTCGATTGCTAACTTACACGATTCATCTAATTTAGAACGAACTTCATCACCCAACAAACACCTAGATGCTGTCATGATAATTAATTCAGCTGTTGCTTTATGGATATCTTGAATATCTGATGTTTTATTCCATCTTGAAAAATAATTTTTAGTTTCCATTTCAATCATTGGTACGTATGCCCTTAAATTTTCATTAGATAATCCAGATTTAACAAATCTGTTTCATAAAAAAGGTTAAAAATCATTTAGGTATTTTATTTTTTTTTTAAAAAATAAAAATAAATAAAAAGAAAAAAGAATTAACCGACTTTTTTTGTTCCATAAGTACAGAATTATGTACATCATATACCACCCCTTTGCCAAATACAGGTACGGTTAAAGACTTGTAAGCTGCTTCAGCCGATGCATCTGCTAATTTCGCATTAAATACAAAATTATTTCCTTCAGCTCCTAAACACGTTACCATTCTTTTACCAAATAATATAAATGTAAAATAATTTCCATACTAAAGTAATATATAGATAAGATAAATAAAAAAGCTTGGATTCAAAAAGTAAGTAAGTAATAAACCTTACCTCTTGTTGATATTTTCTGTAAAATTTAATCGGATCCATTCCCATAGTTACAGCCGAACCAATTATAGGAAACCAATAAGGTACAATTGGAGGTTCATTTGGATGACGTCTAACATACTGTATCATCAATTGAATTGAATACATTATTTGAGCTGCTTGGTAAATATAAATATTTATTAACATTTGAATTGATATACTTACGAGAATTGATTTAACAGCATATGATAACAGGATAATCAATATTGCAAAACCAACACATAAAAATAAAATTTTATTAACTGAAGCTTCGCGAATTAAAGGAGCAATTAATTCATTTCGTTGTGCTGTCGCATTTGCATGATATACAAATGGTAACAAATAATCATTATAAAATGTATCTAAAATCGAATTCGTTGTCGACATAATTCTCCCCAATAAAAAAAAAATTGGTTAATTATTTTTAGAAAGAGCGATTTCTCAAAAAAAAAAAAAAAAAAAAAAAAATTAAAATTATCGAACATTATCGGTTTTTAAATATTTATTTGGTTGTACTAAGAGGAATAGAATAGGAATAGATCAAAAAAATTTTTTCGTTATGGTGCATGTCATACATGAGAATGATTTCCCGATAAGTTTAACCTAAAGATATGTATGTACAAATTTGAAACGCCAAGAACATTTGTCATGCTTGAACTTTTCATTGTAAAGTATAACTTTGAAGATTCAATGAATTATCGAATTATAATTAAATCCGAAAATGTTGACAAAATTAAATTTGGGCAAAGGTTAAATGCAGACAATACATCTCATGTTCAACCTTCAATAAATTGGCCCATAATAAATAATTAAATGGGTTAAATAAATGGAGATTGGGAAATGGCTTGTACACGATTCAAACTCATCCCAAACCATTCATTGTAAATAATGCAATTTGCAGAACAATTAACATTACTAATTAAGGAAACACCATTATTAAAAAATGAATAGATCAATTACGTAAACCGTTTTTTAAATGCCTATTATTGATGCTTAAATGATGGATGATATTACATATAGACCCTTTCCTTTCTATTAAAGATAAGAAATTGAACAGGATCATGATGACTATTTATACATGATTACATAATTACACAATGGAATCTCGGGGAAATCTTATCTACAAAAATGGAATCTAAACTACTGTGAATTTACCAAACGTTAAATTCTGTTTCGATTGTGTCAAAAAGAATCCCGTTATTAAATTGATTTGACATTGTTTCATAAACCGGATTTGGTGTAGGGGGGTGGGAATATTGTTGAACGACGACATTATTATTCATTCTTAAACAAACGTTTTTGGCCATTCTGTATAGATTTTTGTAGACATCCTTCTCTTCATCTGTAGCAGTACTCCAATATATACCCGATGCTTTGAAAATAGTCGGCATATATGCTTGGTTCCCCAATACGTTTGCTGCTTCTTTAACATTTTGACAGCAGAAAAAGAAGCATGTACCTTTTACGCAAAATCTTTGTTGCGCGTGTTGCATTTCAACACAAATAAAATCTTCAGGCCTAGTATAATAAAAGGGAGGAAATATTTTGCTCCTATCTAATCTCGAGACAAGCGCGTAAGCTAATTCTTGTGTAGAGAAAACAAGTTGTTGATAGCGAGACATTTTTTTATTTTTTTTTTTCTTATTTGTTAAGAGTAAGAGCGATTTTTGAAAGAAAAGGATAACAAAGATGATTTGTCAATTTTTATATTGTTTAATATTCAACTTATCGGGAAACTTTGTTATCTATATTTGTAATATTAATTCTATAATTTTTCATCATTTGCTTAGAAAAAATCTAAATGATGTCACATCGATCACAGAATATTTAAGGTAATTTCAACAAAGTGAAAAAAAATATATATACAATATTATAATAATATTTCTTTGTATTGACCATATTAATTTTTTTCCAATTCAGTTAGTTGGAATTTTTTCTTTTTTTTTTCTTCTCGCCAAAGAAATTTAGGGCGCGACGGAAAGGTATGATGTAATTATTGTTTGTGTTACAAATCATATGATTGATCGATTAATCTTAAAAAAAAAAAAAAAAAAAAATTTAAAAAATTACCTTTTTTAAATGTTTTCGTTAAGATACAATATTTGTCCTTTTCGTCGATGTTTTAATTCATCGTCAATATCAAAAATCAATTCAACTAGTATTTTAAATGGGAATTTTAAATATCATGAATATGTAGTTAAAGAAGAAGATGATGTAGATATGATGAGACTTGATCGATATTTACACTTACAAACAAAGCTTCCAATTTCTATAATTCAAATGAAAATTCGAAAAAATGAGGTATTTATCAAAATATCACTTGGTTTTTCGTTTATAATTTTTTAAATTACCAATTTTTTCTTTTTTTTTTTAAAAAAAAAAAAAAAGGTAAAATTAAAACCACGGGTGCATGAAAGTACAGATTTAGATAAAGATAGGGTAAAATTACATAAAGTTTTATCATATAAAGTTCGTCCTGGTGATTTAGTTTCAATAAGAAGTCCTGATTTATATAAGGAAGCAAAGTTTGCCAAACCTAAAAGACGCAAGACAGAGGTAGTCTTTTAATTTTTTAAATTTTAACTCATGTAACCAAAAAATTTATGTTATTATTATTATTTCTTACTAGTCTTTTAGTGAGAAGGAAATCGAATCAATAAGATCACTGATTTTATATCAAGATAAAGAGATTTTGGTGATAAATAAACCAGCGGGTCTTGCAACCCAAGGTACATAATTATCGTTATTTTTATTTTTTCAACTCACTGTTTTTGAATACTTATAAGATTTAACTGCTTTTCTGTAAAGGTGGACCGAAAACATTAAAACATGTTGATGGACTATTACATGGTAATTTCTTAGATCTGTATATCTTTTAATGACATTGATTTAATTTAATTTAATTTCATTTCAAGCATTACAGTTCGATTATCCTGACCCTCCGCGATTAGTTCATAGGCTGGATAAGGTTTTTATTGTTCAAGTTGAAATTTAAATCTTGAATTATTTTATTTTGAAATAATAAAACTATATATATATTTATTTAAATAGAATACAACAGGAACTTTGATCCTTGGTCGAACTAGATCTGCCGCCGGGAAACTGTCTCACATGTTTCGTGAAAGTACAATAGACAAGATGGTATTATCTTAGAATTTCCAATCTACATTGTTAATTTTACTTTCGTTAAACAACTTTCCTCTTTTTTTCCCCAGTATATTGCAATTGTTAATAAATTCCTTCCCAGAAATTTGTCAAGAGTAAAAATTGATGTACCAATTTGTTATGGTGGAAAGCCGCCATATGAGAAAGTTACATGTGTATTAGGTAATTAGGTAAAAGATTATTTCAAATATTTATTATTTATACACTTTAAAAAAATAAATGTTTTATGTATATTTATGACAATCTTAGATCGAAGATCAATTTTGATGGAAAAGGCCAAATCAGCAATAACAAATTATCAAGTGCTTGCGGGTACGGGTAATTATTCATTGCTCAGGTTAGTTATTGAAAACTAAGTATTCCTTTTAGTAGGTAAATGAAAATAAATAAATAAATAATATACTAATGAAAACAAAATTTTAATTTAAGATTACATCCAAAAACAGGCAGGAAACATCAGTTACGGTCGCATTGTGCATATGTACTTGAAGGTAAAATTTTTTAATAAATAATATAAATTTTTTATAAACGTAATTTAATACATTATTCAAATTATAAATTTTTTGGTCCACCAATTAGCATCTATTTTGGGAGATTACAAATATGGCATGGAACAAATATACACATCAGAAACACCCGAACCAATGTATTTACACTTAAGTAGGCTTGCCATTCATGTAAGAATCAAGAAATTGTCATATTATACAATTACATATATATATTATTTATTTTATCTTTTCGATTAGAATTGGAGAACGCCTGAAGGTAAAATTTTAAAACAGCCTATAGAAATAACGGCACCTTTACCACCGTATTTTAAGAAAAAATCAGAACTACTTTTTGGGATTGATGCTGAATCGACCGAGTGGGATTATTAGTTGGAATTTTTCTTGTACATATAAGTAATTATATTAATTTATTAATCAAACTTATTTGAAGTTTAAAACAAATAAACATTCTGGTTTTAAGGAATTTATTGCGCTAGCGTTTAAAGTCATCAACGATTAAAAAATTAAATTGCCTCCATTCCATATTCCAAACTCTTTATTTTTTTTACATATCATTATTATAACAGCCTACCAAACAAAATATATATTTGTCGATCATCGAGTCGGACTTACAAAAAATACGATGAACCCTTTTTTTAGAAACCAGGGTATTTATCAATTTTCAATCTTGCAGTTAACCAATCTAATGATTATTCTTTGATAGCGATAAACTAAGTTACCAAAAAGAGTAACTATTTGAAAGACGCGTCGAATCAATTATTTCATTAGCCTTTTAGAGACAATTTCCTTTCATTCTAAGTTTTTCTCTTGCATACGCTGAAAAGTACAACCAGTCGCGTAACTAAACGTTTTTTCTATTTAGATAAATTTTTTTTTTATCTTATATATATTATTTCGAAAGGATTGACAGTTTATTTTTATTCTTGTAATAATGAAATAATTACGATCTACAACAATACAACAATAATATAAATTGTTAATTTAATTCCCCCTTTTTTTTTAAAAAAAAACGGAAAAAAAAGGTTTTCGATCGATTACACAAGGGAAAACTAATTTATTTTTTTGCCTTTCAAGGCTTTTTTTTAACAAAGAAAAAACGTTCTCAAGTAAAATTGATCAAGTACAATTTTTTTTCCATTCTTTAGATCCCTTTTTTAATTAACAACCAATATTGTGTGCTTCTAGCATTGTTTTTGACTTTTTTTATTTACAAATATTATATCATTAAACATCAGTAGAGTTTTTTGGTTATAAATAATGGCTTTTTTTCTCTGTCTCTCTTTAATCATCAAACCATCATTATTACCACCAATAAAAATTAAGATAAGAAACACATAATATAATACTAAGCTTACAAATATGGAAATTGAAGGTTTTAACTCAAAGGTTATAAAGGTTCAACAAATTTTTGAAATGTATAGAAGCAAGGTTTTCCCTTCGCCTCTTTCACCAATAGAAGCGTACAATTCATTAATATATGAAAATAGACCAACTCCTAGACGTACAACCACAACCATGCTTGGATTATTAAATTTAATCGTTTCTCAAGAGGCAGAACAAATCCAAATTACTAACAAACAAGTTGTTAGTAGGGTTTCTTATATCTTGTATAAAGAAGCTAGTCAAAATGAATTACAAGAATACAAAAAGTTGTCTATTGCTGTCAACAATATTATTCTTCATAAAAATGGTTTTTGAAAAAAAAACCTTCTTGATAGAGAAATTTTCTTACACTTAATTATTTCTAAATCTCGATTTAGAAAAAAAAACTTTAACGTAACGACACTTTAACATAAACGAATTGGCAAAATCTTCGACGTTTCGGTACTTTTTTTTTTGTTCGATTAAAATCTGAATATTTGTTATTAAATAAAATCGTTTTCTCGTTCGACAATTTTTTTTGAAAATAAATAAAGCATTTTTTTCGTTATGACGCTCGCCCACGCAAACATTTTGTCATTTTACGAATGTTTATCTAAAGTTTTTTTATGCCTTCAATGTTTCTTGATTCATAATTAATTACAAATGCGGTGTTTGACGAAATGATTATTACTAATTTTTTTTTTTTTCTTAATTTAGTGATTTAGGATTTTATAACATTTTGTAGAGGTTTTTTTTTTAAAAATGTTTGATTTGGATTTTTTTACGCTTCTTAAATACTCTCCTCTGCAATTATCTAAATCATACATCATTCATTCACAATGATACATACATACATCATAGTAACCAAAATAAATTTATTGATTATTTTCAATTACAACGCGACAAAATTCTTTTATTCAGTAAAATCCCTTCTTATTTGGTTATTTTCTACATAAAAAAATTTGGCGTTTATGTGAACAATAAAATGAAAAAAATTAAATTGTCTCAATTGTTTAATATTTAAGAATACATACGAGAGAGCTTGAAAATACTATATAGTTACAATAAAAAAAATCCTTGTCGCGCGAATATATTTATATTTTTATTACAATCTCTATTGTTATATTTTGCTGCTAACCCAAATTATATATTTATTGCCATAAATAAAAAAAAAAAAAAAAACTTGAATATTATTGGAAAATCTAATATGCCCGATATTATATAATTTTGAATCTTAGTCTTATGTATCCAAAAATAATACTCAATAAAAAGATGGGGAATATTAATTAAAAATCATATTTTGGAATATGATTTTATTGTATATAATTTAGCAATATCTTTTTACCTTCAATAATTTACTTTTCTGTTTATCTTAAGATTATAAGATGTTACAGTTTAGAGATTTTCAGAATAATTAAGAAGTTATAAGACTAAATGTAAAAAAAAATTATTGAGATTATAAAAATGGATTACCACAAAATATACTGTATACTCAAAAATTCATTATTAACGGTTGTTTTTCAAAAATAAAATAATGTGTTGAATACAAATAATGTTAACACTTTAAATTGCAACTTTATCCAGAATATTATTTAATCAAATATATTAATTAATTTTGTAAAACCATTTTTTATATAATTTGTGTATAATTTGGTATTTTTAAAAATCTTTTAAAATAATAACTAAACATATTATAACATCTGCAGATGGTGTGGATATAATAATAAATTTTCTTGGCAAATGCAGTCCGCTATTTCAGATATAAATACTCCAGCTTTCACAAAGTCAAGAAATATATATGCAAAACAGCTCATTTTTGAAGGGTATGAGTTAGGCTCGATGAGGTCGACGAAAAAAAATATATTCACAGATTAATAGGACTTTAACATGACTGAAGAAAAGTATGATTTAGCAAGAGGATTAGCTAAGAGACTCGTGAAGTCACGAAAGAGTATAAGAAGAAAAGGTTGTCATTCAGACTTGAATGAGATGTTGCGCAAGTGCGAAATTGATAGCAATAGCATAAAAAAGATTTCTCCATTCGTACCAGAGCTTATGAAGATTAATGACAAGGACGAGGAGTTAGAGCAGTACATAACTGAGATAAAATGCAGAATAAAAGTTATAGGTGCATTAACGAGCTGTGCACTATAAGTATATTCCTTAATATTATCTTTATCACCAGAAGAATAACCAAGAAAGGAACCGCAATTCGAAGTTGTAAATAAAGAATGAGTCGATTACGCAATCAAGAAAGTTGTAAATACTGTGAATTGCTATAATCGAGGACAAACAAAAGGATTTGGTAGTGGAGTAAAGTTTAGGTTCAGAACTTTAGGACAGAGTCTTTGAATCAGTCTTTATAAAATCAAGTCCTGATTTTTAGAACGGACTTAAGAACTTAAGACAGTTTAAAGTTGGTCTTTATAATATCAATATAAATAAAAAATATATATAATTTGATTGTAAATATCACATAATTTCCTTCCTATAAAATTTTCTCATATTTTATTTTACCATTTGTTTCTTGCTCAAAATTGTTATTAAATTCAAAAATCATAATCTAAATATTCAGACATTTTTTAAACTATTATGTTTATTACGAAAAAAATTTCTAATAAAAAAAAGTTATGATAGTGATAATGAAGAAAATGACTCACTATCTCGTTAACATGGAGGTATTTATGATGGACATCCAATTAGTCATATGCATATGCAAAGTTGAAAAAGTACAGTGTACGAATATAATATTCGTATAAGTATACAGTGAACTCTTGATATAACGAATTCTAGGATCTGGATATCAACTTCGTTATAAGCTTATAACGAATTTTTTAAAGAATTTAATTGGCTAGTTCACTATAGTAAAGGTAATTTTAATATATTTGATTTAAAAATTCGCTATATCAAGGGTTCGCTATATCAAGGTTTGACTGTAATACTAGTATATTGTATAACTGTACTTAGTACAGTAATACAATTATACATTTAATGAGAAGTACATTATACTAGTACAATTTTAGTACAATTTTAGTACATTTTAGTACATTTAGTATATTTATTAAAACAAAAAAAAAAAGTGATTTTAGTAACAACTTATGTTATTATAAAGTTTGTTTTATCAAACTTGGTGAAAACCATACAGAATCAAAAACTATAATAGATAAAACTGAAAGAATACTTACTCATTTTAAAAATTATCAAAATTTTCAAAATGCATATAATCAAGAAGAAAAAGATGGAAATATTTACTCTTAATAAAAAAAATAAGAAAATTAATTTAGGTAAAATAACAAATAAAATTAATATTTATTGTATATTATTTTATTTATAATTAATATCAATATATATTTTTAATAGAAAATAATCTATTAAATCAAGAATTAGCATCATCTTTTCCTAATAATTCGCAATTATTATCATTATGAAAAGAATCAATGACATCTTACTCATCCTTATCTTCTTTTCCTTCTAATTGGTTAAATTATGGACCTTTAAATACATATATTGCACATTCTTTTTCTAATACAAATAAAAAATTTTTTATTATCTATTATTATGTTTTACTATTTCTTGTGGTTTTCATTAACTTGGATAAATAATTTAGAAGTTATTGAATTATTTCAATTTATTAATCCAAATATTAAATTACCAGATAGAAAATTATTATCTAATGGAATTTTACATGAAGTAACTAAAAAACTTAATAATACAGTGATAGAAAAGTTAAAGTTGATCGAGTAGGTGTTACAATGTCTTTTGATAGATGAACAAATGTTTGTGAGTAAGAATTAATGGAAACTGTACTTATGACTTTTAATGAACAACCTTATGTATAGCAAGCTGTAGATGTAAGTAATAAACATGAAACAACTATTGAAGTTATATCAAAAACAAAAGAAATGATATCTAAAGTAAATGAATTCAATATATCACTTTTAGCTATCATTACAGATAGCGCTCCTACTTATAATGTAATACAGTAATTAATTAATTAATTATTATTATATTATATAATTGTTATATATTTAATTTATAATTTTATTTATTATAATTATTAATTAGAAAAAAACTTCGAATTGAATATTGTAATATTGTTTTTTTACCTTGCTTTGCATATCATATAAATTTATATGTTGAAGAAATTTTTAAAACTTTACCAGATTTTGAAATAACATCAGATTAAGCATTAAAAGTAGCTGCATATTTTAAAAATGCTAATCACAAATATTTTATTAATCAACTTAAAGATATTCAAAAAGAAATTTATGGAAAATATATTCAACCTTCAATTCTAGGAGATACTAGATAGAATAGTTATCTTAGTTGCTGTAAAAGTTTAAATGCTACTAAGAATTCTTTACAGGTAATCATTTTTATACAATTTTAATGATTTAATTAAAAGTAATTTATTATTTTAATAATTGTATAATAGACTTTAACTACAAAATTTAAACAGTCACATATGACTTTCATAATATAATTATATTATAAAAGTCACATGCGACTTGGGTTAGGTCATGAAGGTAACTTCATAATCTATCAGTATCTTCATAACATATTGGTAACTTCATAGTCTGCTGGTATCTTCATAACATATTGGTAACTTCATAATCTAAATTCACGATCTGGTAGTAACTTCATAACCTACCATTCGTAATCTGATGATAACTTCATAATCTACTTATGGGTAGCTTTTTTGTGTTTATTGTATTATTTTAATCGTTTCCTGTATATTGTGGTAGTGATTTCATAATCTAATGGTAGATGGTCTTGCTTTATATTAATGGTGATGTCATAATCTAATGGTTACTGTTTTCTTCTTATTCCTGATTCGTTTACATGTTAAATTTTATATTGTTGGTATTGGCTTTCCATGCTTGTTTGAATGCCTGGTACTATGTTGAGGATATTGGCCTTCTGCACCTGACTGAGTGCTAGATTTCATATTAAGTGAAATGGTGTAAAAAAAGAGGCGACAGTGGCGCGGTATATTTTCTTATAATGATAATCAGCCATAAAAGTCCGATCTGCCGTAACGATCTTGGAACGCA